CAAGGTGAGAAACCCCCGGAAACGGAAGTATTCTCTTATCAGACCTATACGGTCATCAGACCCATGGCTTTGGCCTCCGTCCCTCCCTCAATCCGGGGAAGGCTGGAACGAGCATACTGGGCCCGCTGTCTCAGCACTGGCGGAAACCATTCACTCAACGCTTCGTCGACCCAACCCGGAACATTTACGACGTGGTAACGAGTCTCGGGCAAAACCGAACCAATACCCAGCTTCGCACCAATCGACCTCATCAACAGCCAAGCCTGAGATTCACTGCTTTTCCATGGCATCACTCCGTAACAGAGACGGCGACCTGGAGGAGGAGGCGGCGGCGACGTACCTGACTGACTGTGGCTGCATGCATGGAGGCCACGAACCTCCCCTAGCCTTATCAGCTCACCTGACGTCTCCAGCCTCCAGCACCCCGGTCATCCATTGACCTTCGCCCGAGCAAATTCGCAGCGACCGCTGTCCGCTCGAATGCTCGGCCTTTGCTATCAGAACTTGCACCGTAGCAAGCATGCACTTCATTTCGAGCCCTCCACGCATATCTCAACGAAAACATGATGTCGCACTCAACGACGTTGTCCACCCCCCATTCCTTGCCGCCAAAAAACCCACCCGTCGGCCTCCCCGCCGCATCCGGCCCCTCCACGCTGACAACACTAGCGCCCCCACCCCCCTTTACCCAGAGACCTTCAAACAGTCCCGGGGGAGCACCACGTTGTCGCCACCACAACCCGAAGAGCCTCTGGCAGGCCCCTCCTTCGTAGATCGCATCCTCGCCCTGAGCTTAAGTCGTCCTCATACCCCCAAATATTTGCACCGACATGTCCATGTCATGAAGGCGCCAGATCAGATCGCGACTTCAGACCGAAAGAGTGTTCAGGCGTGTCTCGCTGACGGTAGGCCCAGGTGCGGGGTAAGCGACATCGGGTGCCACGACATAATTCCCGAAACGACGTCATCTCCCTTGCGCAGGAGCCATCAAGGCCCAGCACCCACCCTGATTTCCAGCGACAAAGGGGGCTGGCGGTCGCGTGTTTTGGGAAGACAGGTTCGATGAGCCTTGCCGATGACGAGTCAACTTGCGCACCTTGGTGCGGCTGCTGCCACAGCCGCAGCAGCAACATCGACGGCAGTGCCGGGGCCACCCCGTGCAGTGCCTGATATTGGGCAATTGACTCTGTCCTGTTTTAGGTCGGATTCGGGCATCCCTGTCACGACAATGTCACGATACAATCGCGAGGCTGGATCTGTTGGGACACTCCGTCGAGAGGCCTAACGACATCGTCACAACGATTGCTTGGACAAGAACACACACAAAATCGGAACCGGCGCAGTCATGATCAGCAGACGCGACATATGCGTGCTACAGTCGAGGTGACGGGAGAAATTGCTTTTGAGTATAAACGCAAGCTGCCTGAATACAATCATAGGCAGAAGCCTTCATGGCTATAAACCCGTCCGCCTAGTAATAAGTTTCGATAAGTCCATGAAGGGCGGTCCCTCGAGGAGTGTCAAACGCCAGAGTCCCATGCATATCATCATCATTGTGTGTATGCTCTGTCGTCGCTTCCGTACCTGTCGTACCGGCCATCATCGTTCCCATGATAAAATAATGCACGTTAAAAATAACCCTGGCCGCCCTTCCGCATGCGAGGTCGTCATCCCCCCTTTTCCCGCTGGCCTCTGCCGTTGGTCATACATTCGTCGAAGAAGATCGTAAAATGAGTAAATCGTCAAAAAGGGCCGTGACATATTCGTCAGATATCATCCATGCGGTGGCATGCCGAGAAGAGAAGATCAAACCATGGGATGGGAGGCAGAGAAGACCAAGAATGGCTAAAAAGCTCGTAAGCAATCAATGCAGTACACGTCTTGCGTGTATGCTTCGTGGCAACGCCGTCGCTGTGACTCTGGAGACAAATTCAGAACAAAGGAAATAGTTTAGATGAGTCGACCCCACGACTTCAGAGGAGCATTGTACACTTTGTGCACTATGCGAAAGGGGTTTCTTCGGAGTGCGGCCAGGTTCCGGCCTAGTTGGCGCGGATCACTAGCTTGGACAGGAATTTGTTCGACAGGCAGTCGAAGTCATTCCTGTCAAAGGTGCACTCCGGACGAGCACGGAGGTAGTCCTCTGTAAAGACCGTTAGTATCCGTCTTGGTTGTGTTGATCGAGGAAGCAAAACTTACCATGCTTGCGGACGTGCTCGCGGACTTCAGTCATAGCCTCACAGACAGCCGTGTTGTTGTTGAGAATGTGGCCGTGCTTGGCGGTGTCCCACTCGGTGAAGGCAGGGAGCTTTTGTGAGATGGCGTGGAAGAGACCGACAATGACACCAACGGGCGTCGTCTCCATGTCCGTACAGAACTTGTTGACGGCAGCAGGGTCGGGCATGCGGTAGTGAGAGTCGAACTGCATCTCCTCCCAGACGGCGAGCAGGATCGAGGCGAGCATGAAGATGGTGGGCCAGTTCTTCAGTCGCTCGCCACTGTAGACGCTCGAGTAGAGCGACGACAGCTCCTCGAGGATGTCACGCTGCAGCTCACGCCACATATCGGCGAGGGCGCACTTGATCTGGAAGTTGACCATGACAGGGGCTACGGTCTGGCCGTAGAACTTGGAGTCCTCATCATCGATCTGTCCGTCGCTTCCGGCCTCGTCACCTTGCTGCTGGATCATGGTGATGTGCATTGTCAGGTTGTAAGCGAGGACGAGCTTGAGAGCCTTGCGAATGACGGGCATCTTCTCCTTGACATAGAAGCGGTGAGCAGTCTTGAGAATCTCAGTGATGAAGGGGGTGCCCTCGAAGTGGTCGTCAATAAACTCCTCGAAAGGCCCGTCAATGTGCTTGTCAAGGTAGGCAGACAGAGCATCAACGGAAACGCCCTTGGCGCCGACATCCAGCCTATCAGTGCGAATGTCAAACTCGATAGGTTCTTGGTCGGTGAGATGAGACTCAACCCAGTCAACCTGGAAAACGCTCTCGTCGTTGACATAGACCTCGCGGACGTAGACCGGCAGGGCGAAGCCGTAGCCGTGGGTGATCCACATCAACGTCTCGTTCGGAGAGAAGCCCTTGACATTGAAGACGGAGACATTGCGGCTAGTGTGGCGCTCGTAATCAACCTTCCAGCCCTTGAGGAAGTAGTTGATATCCTTGATGTCAATACGAGTGCAAGGAACCTGCCAAAGGCGGGCGTGGGAAGGCTGGCAACCGCCGCAAGGCTCGCCCTTGCGCGCACGTCTTTTTCAAGAACTTGCAACGGAGGCAAGGTGGG